TACACATGGACCTCACCAGACGGTCAACACCGAAATCAGATTGACTACATCCTTTGCAGCCAAAGGTGGCGGACATCCATCCAGTCGGTGAAAACAAGACCTGGGGCTGACTGTAGCTCAGATCACGAACTTCTCATTGCCCAATTTAGAATAAAACTAAAGAGATCAGGGAAAATACACAGACCAGTTAGATATGATCTCACTAACATTCCTAGCGAATATACAGTGGAAGTGAAGAACAGATTTGAAGGACTAGATTTAGTAAACAGAGTCCCAGAAAAACTATGGACAGAAGTCCGAGACATTGTTCAGGAGGCGGCAACAAAGTACGTCCCAAAGAAAAAGAAAACCAAGAAGGCAAAATGGTTGTCTGCTGAGACACTGGAAGTAGCCCAAAAAAGGAGGAAAGCAAAAGGAAACAGGGATAAGGGGAGATATGCCCAGTTAAATGCGCAATTCCAGAGGTTAGCCAGAAGAGATAAGGAACTATTTTTAAATAAGCAATGCATGGAAGTGGAAGAAGACACCAGAATAGGAAGGACAAGAGACCTCTTCCAGAAAATTAGAAACATTGGAGGTAAATTTCAGGCAAAAATTGGTATGATAAGAAACAAAGATGGCAGGGACCTAACAGAAGCTGAAGAGATCAAGAGAAGGTGGCGAGACTATACAGATAGATCTGTATAGGAAGGATAATAATATTGAGGATAGTTTTGACGGTGTGGTGAATGAATTAGAACCAGACATCCTGAGGAGTGAGGTTGAATGGGCCTTAAGAAGCATTGCTAACAACAAGGCAGCAGGAGACGACGGGATCCCAGCTGAACTGTTTAAAATCTTAAAAGATGATGCTGTCAAGGTGATGCATGCCATTTGCCAGCAAATATGGAAAACACAAGAATGGCCATCAGACTGGAAAAAATCAACCTATATCCCCATACCAAAAAAGGGAAATGCGAAAGACTGCTCAAACTTCCGTACAGTGGCCCTTATTTCTCATGCCAGTAAGGTAATGCTCAAGATCCTGCAAGGAAGACTCCAGCAATACATGGAGCGAGAGTTGCCAGATGTTCAAGCTGGGTTTAGAAAAGGCAGAGGAACGAGAGACCAGGTTGCCAATATCCGCTGGATAATGGAGAAAGGCAGGGAGTTTCAGAAAAAACATCTACTTCTGCTTCATTGACTATTCTAAAGCCTTTGACTGTGTGATCATAATAAATTGTGGCAAGTTCTTAGTGGGATGGGCATCCCAAGCCACCTTGTCTCTCTCCTGAGGAATCTGTACAAGGACCAAGTAGCAACAGTCAGAACTGACCACGGAACAACAGACTGGTTCAAGATTGGGAAAGGCGTACGGCAAGGCTGCACCCTCTCACCCAACCTTTTTAACTTGTATGCAGAACACATCATGCGATGTGCGGGGCTTGATGAATGCAAAGCTGGGGTGAAAATTGCTGGAAGAAACATTAACAACCTCAGATATGCAGATGACACCACTCTGATGGCCGAAAGCGAGGAGGAGCTGAGGAGCCTTCTAATCAAGGTGAAAGAAGAAAGCGCAAAAGCCGGGTTGCAGCTAAACGTCAAAAAAACCAAGATTATGGCAACAAGAATGATTGACAACTGGAAAATAGAGGGAGAAACCGTGGAGGCCGTGACAGACTTTGTATTTCTAGGTGCAAAGATTACTGCAGATGCAGACTGTAGCCAGGAAATCAGAAGACGCTTACTTCTTGGGAGGAGAGCAATGTCCAAGCTCGATAAAATAGTAAAGAGTAGAGACATCAGACTGGCAACAAAGATCCGCCTAGTCAAAGCCATGGTATTCCCTGTAGTAACCTACGGATGTGAGAGCTGGACCTTAGGGAAGGCTGAGCGAAGGAAGATCGATGCTTTTGAGCTGTGGTGTTGGAAGAAAGTGCTGAGAGTGCCTTGGACTGCGAGAAGATCCAACCAGTCCATCCTCCAGGAAATAAAGCCCGACTGCTCACTGGAGGGAAAGATACTAGAGAAAAAGTTGAAGTACTTTGGCCACATCATGAGGAGACAGGAAAGCCTAGAGAAGACAATTATGCTGGGGAAAGTGGAAGGCAAAAGGAAGAGGGGCCGACCAAGGGCAAGATGGATGGATGGCATCCTTGAAGTGACTGGACTGACCTTGAAGGAGCTGGGGGTGGTACGGCCGACAGGGAGCTCTGGCGTGGGCTGGTCCATGAGGTCACAAAGAGTCGGAGACGACTGAACGAATGAACAACAACAACACATAAACATTAAAAAACATTTATCAAAATATTAAAATACACCATCTAAAGCCGTCCTAGTCATCCATGTAAATTCTAATTCGCCTGGTCATCTTTCCTATTGCTGCTTTATTGCCCTGTCCCAAAAGCTTGGTCCCACAGTCAAGTTTTTACCAGGAGGGAGGGGGCTGACCTGATCTCACCAGGAAGAGAGTTCCATAGCCAGGGAGCAATCACCGAGAAGGCCCTGTCTCTCGTCCCCACCAATCATGCCTGTGACAATGGCGGGACGGAAAACAGTGCCATCCCGGAGGATCTTAATCTCCATGATGGTTCATAGGGAGATATGCATTCGGACAGGTAATTTGGGCCAGGGCCATATAAGGCTTTATAGGCCAAAGCCAGCACTTTGAATTGTGCCCGGTAGCAAACTGGCAGCCAGTGGAGCTGGCATAACATAGGAGTTGTATGCTCCCTGTATGCCGCCCCAGTTATTAACCTGGCTGCCTCTCGTTGGACTATTTGAAGCTTCCTAGCAGTCTTCAAAGGCAACCCCACGTAGAGTGGTTTGCAGTAGTCTATCCTAGATGTAACGAGAGCGTGGACCACCGTGGCCAAGTCTAACTTCCCAAGGTATGGGCACAGCTGGCGCACAAGTTTTAATTGTGTGAATGCTCCCCTGGCCACCGCTGCAACCTGGGATTTCAGCCTCAGTGAGTCCAGGAGGACTCCCAAGCTGCGAACCTGTGCCTTCAAGGGGAGTGTAACCCCATCCAGCACAGGTTGAGACTCTATACCCTGTTCGGCCTTGTGACTGACCAGGAGGACCTCTGTCTTGTCTGGATTCAACTTCAATTTGCTCACCCTCATCCAGACCGTCACAGCTGTCCAAGTTCAGGATTTGGACAGCCTTCTTTGCATCTGGTGGAAATGAGTGATAGAGTTGGATGTCATTTGTGTGCAGATGGCATCGAACTCTAAAACTCTGGATGAACTCACCCAGCGGCTTCATGTAGATGTTAAACAACATGGGGGATAATACTGAGCCCTGTGGGACACCACAGGACAATGGCTGTGGGACCGAGCAGGAGTCCTCCAGCAACACCTTCTGGGTACGACCCTCCAGGAAGGACTGGAGCCACTGCAGAACAGTACCTCCAAGACCCATCCCTGCAAGGCGCCCCAGAAGGATACCGTTGTCTACAGTATCGAAGGCCGCTGAGAGGTCCAGGAGAACCAACAGGGACACACTCCCTCTGTCGAGCTCTCTGTGGAGATCATTCACAAAGGCGACCATGGCTGTCTCAGCTGTCTCAGTTCCATGTCCCGGTCTGAAACCTGACTGCGACGGATCCAGATAATCAGTTTCGTCCAAGAACCCCTGGAGCTGTGTATGTATGTCTGTGTGTGGGCCCCCATCAGGGAAGCTTTACTAGTGGTTTTTTCATGCAGTTGTGAAAACTGCTAATACAATCATATTTATATGTGTTAGGAAAATTTTCCCAAAATAACAGAGTATTTTAAAAAAAAATATTAAAAGGATACTTGGTAGAGCATTCAGCTCACAGCAAGCAAAAGCAATATATGGTGGCTGTAAATAATCCTTGAGCTTAAGGAAGCGAGATGCAGAGTTCAATCTTATCAGTATCAAAAAGGTTTATTAAAACGTAAGAACTACGGTACATTTCTTGGTGGAAAAGGATTGGGTACAAGCTTTCTCTCTAGCTCCACGACGTCTGAGTTCAAACCAAAGGAAACATCTCTAAAGACTACATTTTCCCATTCACACATTCAAGCTGGATCTACACTGCCATGCATCCCAGGATTTGATCCCAGATTATCGGCTTTATCTGGCAGTGTAGACTCATATAATCCAGTTGGTATAAGAAGATAATCTGGGATCAGCTACTGGGATATAGGGCAGTGTAGATCCAGCCTCAGAAAGAAAAGGAGGTGAATGAAGGCATGGCCACAAGGTCAAAGGAAGAGGCTTCCCAGAGAATTCAATTCTACATCATTCATTAGGATAGGATGAAAAAGGACAGAGAGTAAGAGAAAACAGAACAACAACAAGTATTCAGAAATGAGGGGGATAGAATTCCCTCAGACTTAATTCTTACTTATCTGCTTCTCATTGAGGTCTATAGGCACAGTCTGGCTTTACGCTGTCGGTCATGGAACTGAAACAGCCTTGGTCGCCTTAGTGGATGATTTGCATAGGGAACTTGACAGGAGGAGTGTGTCCCTCTTGGTTCTCCTGGACCTCTCAGTGGCCTTTGACACCATACACCATAGTATCCTTCTGGGACGCCTCACAGGAATGGCACTTAGAGGTACTCTTCTGCAGTGGCTCTGGTCCTTCCCGGAGGGCCATTCCTGAAGGTGTTGTTGGGCTCACTGCCACTGTCCTGTGTGGTCCCGCAGGGTTCAGTACTATCCCCCATGTTGTTTAACATCTACATGAAGCCACTGGGAAAGATCATGCAGAGTTTTGGAGTTCAATGTCGTCTGTATGCAGATGATGTTCAACTCTATCACTCCTTTCCACTGACTGCTACGGAGGCTGTTCAGGTCCTGAACGAGCGCTTGGCAGCTGTGATGGTCTGGATGGGGGCAAACAAATTGAAACTGAATCCAGACAAGACAGAGGTACTTCTGGTCAGTCGCAAGGCTGAACAGGGTATAGGGTTATGGCCTGTGCTGGACGGGGTTTCACTCCCCGTGAAGATACAGTTTGCAGCTTGGGAGTTCTCCTGGACTCATCACTGAGCCTGGAATCCCAGGTCTCAGTGGTGGCCAGGGGAGCATTCACGCAGTTAAAACCTGTGTGCCAGCTGCGCCCATACCTTGGGAAGTCAGACATAGCCATAGTAGTCCACACTCTGGTTACATCCCAAATTGACTACTGCAACATGCTGTACGTGGGGTTGCCTTTGAAGACTGTTCAGAAGCTTCAAATGGTCCAATGGACAGCTGCCAGGTTGCTCACCAGAGCTACGTACAGGGAGCATACAACCCCCCTGTTATGTCAACTCCACTGGTTGCCAGTCTGCTTCCAAGCACAATTCAAAGTGCTGGCTTTAGCCTATAAAGCCCTAAATGGTTCTGGCTCAGCTTACTTGTCAGAACATATCTCCCTCTTTGAACCACCTTGGAGATTAAGATTGTCTGTGGAGGCCTTGCACCTGGTCTACCTCCTTTGCAGGCATGACTGGTGGGGATGAGAGACAGGTCCTTCTCAGTGGTGGTCCTTTAGCTGTGGAACTCCCTCCCCAGCAACATTAGAGCAGCTCCCACCCTCCTGGCCTTCAGAAGGAAAGTGAAAACCTGGCTTTGGGCTCAAGCCTTTGGATATTAACTATAGTCCAATTATAGTTACAGAATATGTGCAATGATTTTTAACAGTCCCGGATTACGATTGTGGGTGGCATGATTTTAATAGTGAATGCAATGTTTTTATATGTTTTAATATGATTTAATTTTAACTTAGAATCATAGAATTATAGAGTTGGAAGAGACCTCATGGGCCATCCAGTCCAGCCCCCTGCCAAGAAACAGGAATATTGCATTCAAAGCACCCCTGACAGATTGCCATCTAGCCTCTGTTTAAAAACCTCCAAAGAAGGAGCCTCCACCACACTCCAGGGCAGAGAGTTCCACTGCTGAATGGCTCTCACAGTCAGGAAGTCCTTCCTCATGTTCAGATGGAATCTCCTTTCTCGTAGTTTGAAGCCATTGTTCCACGTCCTAGTCTCCAGGGAAGCAGAAAACAAACTTGCTCCCTCCTCCCTGTGACTTCCTCTCACATATTTATATATGGCTATCATATCTCCTCTCAGCCTTCTCTTCTTCAAGCTAAACATGCCCAGCTCCTTAAGCCGCTCCTCATAGGGCTTGTTCTCCAGACCCTTGATCATTTTAGTCGCCCTCCTCTGGACACATACTTAAATGTATTTTAATTGTTGTTCAAAGGCATTGAATAGTTGCCTATATGTAAAGCTGTGTTGAGTCTCCTTTGGGGTAGAGAAAGGCAGTATATAAATAGAGTAAATAAACAAATAGCTGTGACCACAAGCAGACAAATTCACCCAGCTCCAAAGTTGGACTCAAGAAACATGCATGAAGCCTCTCCTTATGAACGGACTCAGCCAAGGCCTGCCTGCAGCCCCCGAACACTAGTTTGCATTCTTAAGAGACCATGGCCAAAGGGTCTTCCTCCCTGAATGCAAGGTCTCCCTGTTCACCTTCTGCCAGGTTTTTGTCCTGCCTCAGTAGCATTGCTACCAAATCTCTAGATAAGGATCTGGAGCCTGCTCAGCCTTCCAGTGATTTTGGGGAAATAACTCAATTTGTTTTGCTCAATTATATTAGGCACATTACATGCTCGAAATACCATCTTCGGTCATGTTTTTTTTTTTCATTTCTTGAAAAACGGGAGAAAGGGAACATGCAGTTCCTAAATTTGCTGCGTTCTGAATTAGACAAATTGGCTTGGAGGGGGAGAAAAATCAATGGCTGCCAAATGGAAAATAATTAAAATTGGTTGGAAAAGCTCTACTGTGCCCAGCCTCCCTCCCAGGAGGTATTAGGAACAGGCAGTTGGGATGGGAGGGGCGTGCAGCCAGAAAGAAAGAGGTTGCCAAAGAGTTGCCAGGCAGCTGCTTGTGCAAAGCCTCCTCCTCCTCAGAAGCCCTGCTCCCCATGGCTTCCTTGTGTTTTAGTTGCTCCTGGAGGCAGGAGAGGCTGCTCCTGGGGGGAGTCTGGGGGCTGCCAGGCTGTGGAATGAGCAGCAGGAGTGAAAAAGTGAAGGGGAGGAAGTATTCAGGCTCTTGTGTGCGGTATGTCCACAAAAGCTGGTTTCGACTTGCTGTCTCCCACAGATACGAAGTCCTGTTCAAGCAGCAGGTGGGGCCAGAGGACATGTTCCTGGGCATGAGCCGAAAGGATCCTTCCACAGCTTGCTGCGAGGACATGCTGGTGAGAAGCAAGCAGTACAAACCTCCCTCTCCCAGCCTGCACACAGGCAGAACCACACTCAGACCCACAGGGAGGCTTCCCCTTGGCTTCCAAGGGCCCAAACCGTCATGGCCATTTCCTCACCACTCACCACAGAAGCCCTTGGAACAGAATCCCCTGAGTGCACACCTGCCATGCTGCCCTTCCCCAGAGTCTGTGATATTCTGAACACCTCCACTTCAGCACCATCAGGAGATGCTATCCCACCTTCACTGATACCATAATAATAATAATAATAATAATAATAATAATATGAGGAAAAACAACAGGAAAAACTCAGCCACTATCAAGACCTCAAAATCGAACTACAACAGCTCTGGCATAAACCAGTACAGGTGGTCCCAGTGGTCATTGGTGCACTGGGTGCTGTGCCAAAAGATCTCAGTATTTGGAAACAATAAACATCAACAAAATCATGATCTGTCAACTGCAAAAGGCCAGCTTACTTGGATCTGTGTGTATCATCCGAAAATACATCACACAGTCCTAAACGCTTGGGAAGTGTTCGACTTGTGATTTTGTGATATGAAATCCAGCATATAGATCTCATTTGCTGTGACATTCTGTGCTTTTGTGTCAATAATAATAATAATAATAATAAACAACTTTATTTTTACCCCGCCACCATCTCCCCCAACGGGGACTCGAAGCAGCTTACATGAGGCCAAGCCCGAACAACAAATTACAATACAATAAGATACAAATTGCCATAAAATAAACAACATAACATTAAAGTATAAAACATAGAAGCATATAAACAATATACACAAAACATTTTTTTAAAAAGAAAGCGGTAAACCAAACATAATGACAGTGAGCGGGCCACATGTACATAAAATAATTTAAAAACTCAGGGTGTGATAAAGGGGCAGAACTATTTGTAATCATCCTCTGGGTTTGTGGGTGCAGACTGGCCAAAGCTACCAAGACCCCCTTTTGATTCTGTCTGGGAATCTGAGTTCTTAGGCTCAAAAGTAACCCTCAGTTGGGGTGATTCCACCATAAATATTACAGAGTACCAGAAATAAACTTCATAACCAGCAGAAACTTACATGTGATGAGCTGGGATAAGCTTCTATTCCTTAGGATGACACAAGATTGCAGAATCAGAACTTCAAGTTCAAAAATATTTATTGAAGTAAAAGAAATACATTCTAGATAGAATAGGTCTTGAAACTAACTAGCTTACCAAATCTCATCTTCTAAGGAGGTAGAAGGGTAAAAAGTAAAAAAAAAATAATCCATGCAGCTACATTTTGCCTAAAGAAAGAGGCAAAATGTGCATCCTGACTGCAAGGAAGAAAAGGCAGAAGAAATAATGGTGGTGAATGGCCACATGGCCAGCCCATGGCAATAAATATACCTTTAAAAAGGAAGTTCCCTCTTAGAGATTCCATTGCTACATCTTCAAAGGGGGAGGAGAGAGTGGATAACAGGAGGAGGAAATACAAGGCCCTTTTGGTAAACGTGCATAGTATTTGTATTTTATTTTATTTTTATATTTTATTGTTGTATTCTCATGTTGTACATTTGCAATGTTGTACAGCTGGGCTTGGTCTCATGTAAGCTGCCCTGAGTCCCCTTGGGGAGATGATGGCGGGGTATAAATGAAGTTGTTGTTGATATGCAGATTAGGGATGAAACACAATTGGTTCCCTGGGCGGGACCTGTTTTTGCCTTCTTTGGCATAAGGCTCCCGCACCGATCTTGCCATAGGGCCCAGGATGGGATAGGGATGGCAGGAGGGCAGATCCAGCCTAGGAGGGGCAACCCAGGAGGTTTGATTTACCTGTCTAGTTTGCTGCCTCTATCTTTCGCTTCAGATTAAGATCAAGCTGCCAGGCACGAAGGCTTCGGACATCACTCTTGACATCCAGGAAAAGGTTTTGGATCTTCGGAGTCCCCAAAAGTAAGTGGAGGAAGACCTTTCTCCCCCAGCCTTTCCTACCAAGAGTCTCTTGTCTCTCCAGTGGCTTTACATAGGAGACCATTGACTCTTTTTGAGTGGCCTTTGTAACACCAATTGGAGACTTCAGGATCCTCCTAAATTACAAAATCAATCCCCCCAAACCCCAGCAGTATTCAAATTTGGGTTTATCAGGTATTTGTCCCAAATTGGGTCTAGAGAATGAAAATATATCCTGCCGATCAGATATTTACATTGTAATTCATAACAGTAGCAAAATTACAGTTATGAGGTAGCAACAAAAATAATTTTATGGTTGGGGATCCCCACAACAAGAGGAACTCTATTAAGGGCTGCAGCATTACTAAGTTTGTGAAATACTGTTCTATGGTGAAAGTGCACTTCTAGCTATTCCATTTGTGACTGTCCTTTCTTCAGGAAGCTCCTCCTGCACCTTCCTCACCCCGTGGATGCCGAGAGTGGGAGGGCCTGTTTCCTCCAAGAAAAAGGGCTGCTGGAAGTCACCTTGAGGATGAAACGGGAGCTTGATTTCATTAACTTTGCCTGAAGAAGAAGGGGACCAAACCCAGCAAGGATGTGGGGCTCCAAAGGCCAAGGAAGATCTGAATTCGGCACTGAAGAGCAGGGCTATTTGCATGTCTTCTCTTCTCACCCGTCCTGCCGTGTGGCTCCTGGATTGTCCCAGTCTAGAGTAGGGGGCACTGTGCCTTTGGGCGGCCATTGTTCTCCCTCCCTCCCTCAACTCTGCATTGGAAATCTTCCTGTGTGAACTTTCAGCCTCTTGCAACCTTTGCTTCAACTCAGCTGCTGCTTTTAACAAGGACAAAGGGGGGGGGGCAGGCCTGTACCTTTGAGGATAGTGTGTGTGTGGGGGGGGGGGGGGGGGGGGCATTCAAGGAAAAATCCTCACTGTCCCCAGGATTGCTGRGTTTTTTGTTCTGAGAATTCCTAAATGCTTATTTCTCCAGTTTTGGTGTCTGTTGGATAGATAAACAAATTATTTTCCTTCTTTTCCTAAAGTGTGTGTGTGGATCCCTTTCCTTTAGTGCCATGTATCACTATCCTTCTGAGGCAATCTGCTCCAAGAAGCAGAAATGGCGACTTTCTTCAAGTCGTGGGCTGAGCATAGACCTTCTCCAGGGAGAACCAATGGGAGGAGGCACATCAGGCTTCATGGGCCCCAGAACTGGACTGAAATCTGAGGCGGAAACAGGGAAGGGCCATCTGCAAGATGAAGAGGAGCAGAGTGGTCTGCTCTGGCCCAGGATGCCAGGGCAGGAGAGGAACATGGGCATTGCCAAGCGTTACGCTCAAAAATAACCCTCAGTTGCTGTGATTCCACCATAAATATAGTAGAGTACCAGAAGTAAACTTTATAACCAGTAGAAATGTACGTGCGGCAAACTAGGATAAACTTCTGTTTCTGAGCATGGCACAGGATTGAAGAGTCAGAACTTTAAGTTCAAAAGTATTTGTTGGGGAATCTGAGCTGTGAGGCTCAAAAACTAACCCTCAGTTGGGGTGATTCCACCACAAATATAGCAGAGTACCAGAAGTACTTGTTGACCAAAAGGTCGCAGGTTCGATTCTGGGGAGTGACGTGAGCTTCCGCTGTCAGCCCCAGCTTCTGCCAACCTAGCAGTTAGAAAACATGCAAATGTGAGTAGATCAATAGGTACCGCTCAGCGCTCCATGCAATCATGCCAGCCACATGACCTTGGAGGTGTCTACGGACAACGCCGGCTCTTCGGCTTAGAAATGGAGATGAGCACGACACCCCAGAGTCAGACATGACTGGACTTAATGTCAGGGGACAACTTTTACCAGAAGTAAACTTCATAACCAGCAGAAACTTACATGTGATGAGCTGGGATAAGCTTCTATTCCTTAGGATGCAGAGTCAGAACTTTAGGCTCAAAAGTATTAGTTGAAGTAAAAAAAATACATTCTTGATAGAAAAATCTTGGAGTGAACTAGCTTACTAAATCTCATCTTCTAAGATGGTAAAAGGTTAAAAAGTAAAAAATAAAAATCCATGCAGCTACATTTTGCCTAAAGAGAGAGGCAAAATGTGCCTCCTCACTGGAAACATTGATGGCGAATAGTTACATGGCCAAGCCCAGGGAAATAAAAGTACCTTTTATAAGGAAGTTCCCTCACAGAGATTCCATTGTGACATCTTCAAATGAGGGCACAGTGGCAAGGAGGAAGACTAAAGACAAAACCCTTTTTGGTAAACTTGCATAGGAATGTGGGGTGGAGGAATCCCCCAGCCTAATCCTATGTCTAGTTTAGGTCCTCATTGAGGACTGGAGACTGGATGACACAAGAGACTTGTGTAGTCCAGGGATGAAACCCAACGGTATTTATTGAAGTAAAAGAAATACATTATTGATAGAAAAGGTCTTGGAGCGAATTAGCTTACTAAATCTAATCTTCTGAAGAGGTAAAAGGGTAAAAAGTCCATGCAGCTACATTTTGCCTAGATAGAGGCAAAATGTACATCCACATAGGTAGAAAGAAAAGCAGAAGAGACTGGAAAAATGGCGAAAAGCCACATGACCAGTCCAGGGCAATAAAAATGCCGTTAAAAAGGAAGTTCCCTCTCCGAATTCCAATTTATTTATTTATCGTGTCATCAGCAACCATACCATTGTATTACATTTCTAACAGAACAAAACAAACAAACAGATTTTTTAAAAAACAGATTTTGCAAACTTGGTAGTTGATTAAATGTCCTTTGACCAGTATCTGGCCACTTGGAGTGCCTCTGGTGTTGCCGCAAGAAGGTCCTCCATTGTGCATGTGGCAGGGCTCAGGGTGCATTGCAGCAGGTGGTCAGTGGTTTGTTCTTCTCCGCACTCGCATGCCGTGGATTTCACCCTGTAGCCCCATTTCTGAAGGTTGGCTCTGCATCTCGTGGTGTCAGAGCGCAGTCTGTTCAGCGCCTTCCAAGTTGCCCAGTCTTCTGTGTGCCCAGGAGGGAGTCTCTCATTTGGTATCAGCCATTGGTTGAGGTTCTGGGTTTGAGCCTGCCACTTTTGGACTCTCGCTTGCTGAGGTGTCCAATTCCAATGCTACATCATCAAAGGGTAGGAGACAGTAGCAAGGAGGAAGAGTAAAGACAAAACCCTTTTGGGAAACATAAAGGAGGGGGGAATCCTTCAGCCTAATCTTATCTCTAGCTACTCATTGAGGTCTGGAAACTTGAGACTTGTGCAGTCCAGGGATGAAACCCAACACTATTCCTCATGTCTACAGCACAAATCGGGACACAGTGGTCCGGGACCAGAGCTTGCTCCTTGGCGAATGCCAATGTGGCCAAGGGCAGCAGCCATAGAAGAAGGGAATTGGGCATGGGGTGGGAAGGTAGTCTGCACAGACTTCCACTCCTTTGGGGGAATCTTCCTGGAAAGGAAAGAATGGTAGCCTTCTTGGCTTGACTGAGTCACTACTTTGTGCCACATAATTCCCTCTCTGTTATCTGGGCACAGCAGCAGCCTGGTACCAGAGGTGGCAGTGACGGAACTGGAGTTGCCACAGCTGTCTTCACCAGCTTCGCCAGGTGCAAGAATGCTTGCTTTGCAGAGAGCCTGGCTGCCGCTTTGCTGATGAAACAATCAGGAGGCCTTGAACAAAACAGAATGAAATAGTAAGAGGAAAGCTCATGCAGCGCTGCTGCTCATGACGCCATCTTTCCCATTCCTCTGTAACCGCACACAAATGCTGTGGCAGGGGGGCCGCTGCCTCCATCGCTTGCTTGGCATCTGCTTTCTGGGTCCTCTGCTGCATTCCTTGGTAGGCTCTGCAATGCTTTCGGAAAGGCGAGACCATGACAAACGCTACTCTTGGGGTCTGCCTGTCTCTGTGAGGCCATGCGACATGTGAGATTGGAGGGCATGGCAGTCCATGCATGTGCTTCAGCTGGAGATGGGAGCTACCGCAAAGGAGACCTAGTTGGATTGTGTCTCTGTTCCCCCTGCAGACCTTCTTTTCATGGAATAGTGGGAGCTTCTTCAGCTTGGCAAGCCAACTCTGAGCAGCAGGGAACAGAATGAGATCCCTCCCACTGCTGCGCTGAGACACCCCCCCCCCCCCAAATACTAGGCTATTATCGGAAGGGGGGGGGGGCTTCTGAGGCTGAGGTGACTCCCATTTGCCAGTCCACTGTTCTAGAAAGAAAAGGTCTTGGAGCTAACTAGCTTACTAAATCTCATCTTCTAAAGAGATAAAAGGGTAAAAAGTACATGCAGCTACATTTTGCCTTGGGGTCTGCCTTACAGTCTTCTGTGGCCGCCTGGGACACCGATGGCAGAAGATGCCAGTGGTTGAAGACCCCAAAGGGAGAGGCAGGGGGCTGCAAATGGCATTGCTGGAACATCAATGGCAACTGCAGCGTAGCTGTTCTCGCTCAGATACATCTCCAGGGACTGGATGTGCAGAATGGCGGAAATGAGCTCCTTTAACAGCTACTTTAATGGCTGGACAAGATGTTCAGAAGTTTTGCATCACGTCAAGCCCTCTTGGTTTTGTGTGTGTGTGTGAGACAGAGAGAGTTTAACTGAGGATTCAAAGGCAGGCAAAGGCCCCACTTACGGCCAAGTATCTAGAAATGCAGGAATGTGTGTATAGTGGGGGTGGGGGGGAACTGGCACTGCTCAGCCTCTTTCATTCCCAATCCCTGAAGCACAGCAGAGCAGAATGGAGACCCCAGTGGTGCTGGCAGGACTCCTGGCTGAAAGGTTGACGGTTCAAATCCAGGGAGTGGGGTGAGCTCCCATCTGTCCGCTCCAGCTTCTCATGCGGTGACATGAGAGAAGCCTCCCACAGGATGGTAAAACATCCAGGGGTCCCCTGGGCAACGGTTCAAATGCAGGGAGCAGGGTGAGCTCCCATCTGTCAGCTCCAGCTTCTCATGCGGGGACATGAGACATGGTAAAACATCCAGGCGTCCCCTGGGCAACGGTTCAAATGCAGAGAGCAGGGTGAGCTCCCATCTGTCAGCTCCAGCTTCTCATGCGGGGACATGAGAGATGGCAAAACACCCAGGCGTCCCCTGAGCAGCATCCTTGCAGAATGTATGCCTTTGGGTTGCTTTTTCAAGTCCATTTTGCAGCAGGAGGAACTGTGCAGCACATTCTAACATATTGCCTTATTCCGTTTAATTGTTGATTTATCCGTCTCTCTGTGTCCTCAAGGGACCCCAAGGCAGCACATTCAGTGCTATATAAAGGTAAGTGCTGTATGTTGAAAACATTCTAAGAACGAGAGCCCAAAATAACACAAAACTGCTGTTGATTCTTAGATACCTGGATGGGATATCAAGGTGGTTGAAAATACCAGTTCATAATGCCTGCAGGACTGGGAAACCAAGAGAACTAATGGTTCTGGTAGTAGGAATCGCAGTTCAATGAGAAAGCAAAGCAGAAAACCAATGTTTTCAAAAACAACCTGAGAAGGGAAGCAAGGTTGAGCCCCAATGGCCTGACCTGGGGTGGCTTCTAGAGGAGATGCGACACAGCTTCAAGTGAGGCACAATGGAGGAAGGAGAGGAAAGAGGGAGCACCCCCAGGCGCATGCGTGTGCAGAGGTCTGTCCATCGACCGACCAGCCAGCCAGGTGGCAGAACAAAATAATGGATGGCCTCCCTGCTGCCGATTCACAATGACTTTGAGGCCCGGCTATTCATTGAGGTGACTGGAGTAATAACACAATTCATTCCAGCCGCGGTCCCGCTGAAACAGATGGCTTTAATAATGGTTAATGTGAGAAGAGGAATGGGCCTTTCAGGGTGACAGTGAGGCTGGATCAGGAGGA